CGCAGGCCATGAGGTGCTTGTCATGGAGACTCCTGGTCATACGCGAGGTTGTATATTAGTGCCTGATATCATTTGAAGATTTCCTTGAACTGTCTGATAGTCCTTTTTTTTTTGCTCTTGAGGCTATATGACAGAACAGACATCTATTTCCCTGTCAAATAGCACGGTTCTTGTCTTTTGGTTTTCCGTCTTTCTTTTCCTGCTTCCCTTTATGGTTAAATATCAATTCCATTTTGGGAGCAGAGAACCATTTTTGTGTAGATTTTCTCATTCTATGAGTGGTTTTAGGTAGTTACTAATCCTTCATATTACTTGCTCGTCATGTGTGCTTGCATTAGGGTAGGTTGTCTACATCATTCTCTTTGGGGTGCGGAACTTCCTCGGACCATGTGTGAATGCTGGAAGCTTTGTGCACCCGGCTGCCCTTTTTTTACTTGCTGGTCATGTGCTGTGGGAAATATCCATCTAGTGTAGGTTTACTAAGTCCGGTTGGGAGTAGGTTAACCAGTACATCCACATTGAGAAAATTCTTATCCATTAGTATAATAACATCTTACAAATGAGAGATTTGACATTTTACCACGATAATTATTGTCCTATGTCCAATTACTCATGGGAGATTAAGGAGAGAGATGATAGATCAAGGAAAGAGGTATTTTTATCAGAAATGTATTCCACTAAATAGAGCTGTATAATAATTCAAACGCTTAATTAATCTCTCCACGCGCTCCACTTTCATGTAAAACCATTTGATTGGGCGTGTTCTTTTTATGTCACACTATTTGATTGGATACGAAATTTAAAAGATTAGTTTGACTAGTAAATACATATATGACTGGTATTGGATGAATATATTAGTGTAGTATTTGAGAAGTTTATTTGAAAGAGATAACCATCAAAACTTTAAATAATTAGTTAAAATAGATGCGAATTGAGAAACTTTTGAAAGTTGATATTATGAATAGAATGATGTCAAACATTTTGGCATGTTCCAAAATAGAGATAGTGTCATTTAAAATTGGGAGAGATGTAGTCCCTTCGCTCTTCACTACAACTGTTTATTCTTTTCACTGATCTCTGACGAGAAATTTTAGATTGAGGGCAAAGTGGGGATTACTGCTGATCTAAACTGTGTTATCTTTTTGATCTTATGTGTTTTTATTTGCTTGAAATATCTCCTCAACATTACTAATACGAAAAAATGCATGACAGGGCATATCAGTTTTTACTTCCCGAGGTCAAAGACAATTTTCACAGGAGATACACTATTCAGCTTGTCTTGTGGTAAGCTTTTCGAAGGCACTCCTCAGCAGGTAAAGTAGAGTTCTATTTTGTGGGCCGTATGCATCTAGTTTGTCTTGCATTTTATTTTTCTTTTATTGAGCTTCTGTATGTTCTTTTCTATTTGGCTTCAGATGTTGATGGTTCTCAACTAGCAAGTAAGTCAGACCGATTAAGTAGCATAAGTAAAACTAGTAGTAAAAAATAGAAAAAGCCACTGTTGGCCCAACGGAAGGGGGTTTCGGTGGTTGGGGTTACCAGGAAAAATTATATAATCTATCAAAACCATAAAAGTTTTTGGAGTGAGCTAGCCAAGTTTAAAATGTGGTAGTATAGGAAGAAATATCTCTTACCTATCATACCCCGGTGTTAAATACTATGCTTATTGCTTTGGTTTGGGTGGAACAAGAACTAAAACTGTCTGCTATATAATCTGAAATTGGAATGTGAATGAATGATGCATCACCTATCTTAACAGAGCTAGGTCCGCTGTGCAGAAAGACTTTCGTGAGGGCACTTGCCGACCGTAAATAATAAATACTACTAAAAAAGATAATCTTTATGTTACAGATGCTCTCTTCATTGAGGAAGATCATGTCCTTACCAGATGATACAAATGTTTACTGTGGCCACGAGTATACATTGGTAAATTAACTTTTGAACATTATTGTTCGGTGATAACTTAGATAGCGTTGACAGCTGCTTCTGACCTGACTATTTGACATGTTCTAACAGAGCAATTCAAAGTTCGCACTTTCTGTAGAACCTGGTAATGAAGAATTGCAGTCATATGCCGCACAAGTTGTCAATCTCCGCAAGAAGGGCTTGCCAACGGTAAGCTTGTTTTCCTGAAAACTCTAATGAGAACAATCTAGCGGTTTAGCTAAATTGTAAATATTTTGGGATGATTCGAATGATTCATGAATTTCTTCCTAGGTGTCTTACCTTCCTAGGTTGAGGAATCCAGTAATATCTATGTTGCATTTTTGATTTTTACACAAAAAAAACTATGCGTAATAGGTAAAAGTATGTGTATATCTTCCCCTCTATTTTTTGGGAATATTTATCTGCTAACTGTCAGTGTTTGCTAAGTATATCTTTTGATGCTTTAGATTCCAACAACGCTCAAAGCAGAGAAGCTATGCAATCCATTTCTTCGAACTTCAAGTACAGAAATCCGGAAGTTGCTAAACATTCCACCCACTGCTGATGACACAGAAGCCTTGGGAGCCATTCGTCGTGCCAAGGATAACTTTTAGGAATTCGCCTATAAATGACCCAGACAATGTGTTAGATACAATTTTTGTATAGGGAAAGTACATCTACAAGTGAGAAAACAGACAAGGAATACCTGATTCCTGTTCATGTTTCTCTTAACTTGGAGAGTCCAGATTCTGCCTTGGACTCTCTGTCTTTCTGATAACATATCACATACGCTTAAATTTGACCCGACAGAGTTGTTACAGTAAGAAATGCTTTTTAGTTACTACTGTATTTATTTTATGGATCAAGTTTGAAATTTACTTTTTCATTTTATAATGAATGTGTGTACCATTTCTTTCAATCGTAGCATTTTGCAGTTTGAATTCTGAAAAGGACGAGGAAAGAGAGAACATGACCAGAATCCTAACTGGACACTGCTTTTATGTTTTCCCCGAATTTCATTAGTTCATTATGAAAATACTTTCCAGGTGTTAATTGAAACAATTGATGTCAGAGTAAAACTTGATTTCTTCATAGAGGAAATTAACTTTTGCATTATCTTTCTTATGCATATACACAATACCAATTTCTTTTGATTTTTTATTTACTATGTACGGAATTAGAAGTCTGAGACATAGTTTTAAATTTTATAGATAGATTTCTGATGATAGTTAACTATGGCTTTGTAAAGATTATTGCTTGGGATTAATACAAAAGTTTAGTTCCAAAAGAATATTATTAATCACCAAAACCAAATTTAATAAAATGTGCACATTTTGATTTTTCATTTTAATTTGGTTAGACTTCTCGATGTTTCTTCGCCGTGTCCCCACAAGGACAAATGGAAGGAAGGATAACTTGCCAAGGAAATAATACAAACAAGAGGGTTAAAGTTGTCCATTTACAAATACAACCGAAAAAGATGTGACTTCTTATAGCATTGGATTCACATAATTCCCTCTTTCTTATCGGCGCCTCCTCTTCTTCTTCTTTTCTTCTTCTCTCTTCTAAGCAAACCGAAAGCGAAAAACGCCTTTCTCAAATACATATAATTATTTTCTGATTTTCTATTGCTATCAAAATTTTCTCTTCTCTCTTTTCTCGGTTTTCCAAATCTCAATCTAATAATTTTTTCTAGTTTTTTTTTCGTGTTAAACTAGTTTTTTAGGGTTCGATAATGGCGCCGCCGGGAGAGATGCCGTCTAATAATCTATGGGTTGGTAATCTAACCCCCGACGTAACGGAAGCCGATCTAACGGGTCTGTTCCAGAAGTACGGGCCGGTTGATAGCGTAACCTCATATTCGGCTCGTGGTTTCGCTTTTCTCTATTTCAAGAACATCAACGACGCTAAAGAGGCTAAGGACGCGCTTCAAGGATCTTTCTTTCACGGCAATCCACTTAGGATTGAGTTCGCAAAACCGGTTTGTTTTTTTGTTTTTATGTTCAATCAGATGGATTTTTGTTGTTTTTTCATCGATGTTTATAAATTTATTTTTGTTAGTATTTGTCGTCAACGTTTGTGTGTTCCCGATCATCTACAGGAAGCCCTTAAGCCTTTTCCCTCACTCAAAAATCAAAACAAAAGATAAAATGACTAGCCAAACGAGATCTACGCCGGAGATAAGTAGATGCGTAGAAAATAGAAAAAGGAAATAGATGAACAATATAGGAAGAAAAAAAGTATTTTTTTACCTATGACAACAACAACAAGTATTTTTACCTATGACAACAACAACAAGTCAACAACAACTTGGATCTGGGGAGGGTTGGATATCTAACGGGTAGAGAGACATTTTTTCACTTTATGGATGTTATTATTTTAGTAATTGAAATATGCCGATTTTGTTCTAATGCGAATACGCTATTAGAGAAGCAATGTATCGTAAATTCGGCCGAAATCGTTGAAATCAAATTTCTGCAATTAGGAGATCTGGCCAACATCTATTTGCAGTTCCCTCCCAAACATTTACCAATCTGTGTTGAAGAGGAAATATTTTTATCAGCTGCGAAATCGGTGATTGGTACATTGAACTTATGAACCGAACAAAATTAGACCAGGCAAATAACCTTTATGGAGTTTTCTGAATACTGCGCAACTGAATTAAAGTTGAATTAGACTTCAAAAGCTGCTCAAATTTGCAAAGCTTTAGGATTTTTATTCGAAGTTTATACCAAGTTCCACCAATATGTTGTGTAGCATAAAGGTAACCAAAATAGAAAAAAAAGAGCATATTTCATTATATACTGGAACGGTACGGATCGCTTCACACATCCAAGACCACGAGCACGATCTGCAATAGGCACTATTTGTTGTTCGAAACTAGATTGCCTTGAAACAGATTTTTGTAGAAAAAAACCAGAACGTTAATCGCCCAGCTGCAATACCATCAAAAATGCAAATCAATTGCGACGTAAATGTTAACCACGTACTATATATGTTATATAGATTCCGTTTTATTTGTATATATCCATTCTAACTGATGGAGATTTCTGGACTTTTTTGTGTCCACGTCCTTTCTCAAGGGTTCTCAGATGCTTTATCCTCCAAATGCAATTCCCGTAACATTTTAATAGATATTGAGATCAATTGATACGTGTAATTAATTAATTATACAACAAATGCTAATTAGTTGAGTAGTAGTTTAGCCACCGCTCCAAAATATGGGTATCTAGTAACTCAAATTGTCTTTAATATTTCAAGTCTTTTGAAAATGTTTGATGAAGTTTCATTCTATCTAACACTGATTACTTGTTAAAAGTTTAGTAAATGAAAGTAAATGGAACAACCTTTAGAAACGAATGTTTACTCTCAATAAGGAATATCTATATGTCAACGAAGTCCAATATAGATGGGTATAAAGTAAATTTCACTTATCAGTGCATCGACTGTTATGTCTCCACCAAATAGAAGAAAAGAGAAGAATCAATATGTGAATGTTTAGGCGTTATTATGTAAATCTATGAAAAGAATTAGTACTTATATAAGCATCCCTCTGGAAATGAAGTTCAGGAGATTCTTTTCACCTTTCACAAGTATGGCTAAGACTTGATAATACTTTCTGAAAATAACCCTGGTTTACCACCTATTGGAGATACTTTCTAGGGAATACAAGAGAACCAGTCCTTACAGGAAAACAGCCTAGCTGAAGGAAAGTTAAGATATTCTATTATACAAACGTGTTTGGTATAAAACAAAAACAAATGATATGCATATATGGTGACTCCCTGTATTTACTTTTGGGATTAAAGGGTTGTTAAGTTTGGATGTAGTGGGTGTCTGGTGATACATATTTTACAACTCTAGTTGCTAAAGGTATAGCTGGATATTATAAGTGAAGGTTATAAACCATTAGAAAGAGCAGATAGTTGGTAAGCAGATAGGAAGAATGAACATCCAAGCACTAAAAAATGCCCCGGATAGTCAGCAAACTACAACTTTTGTTGGATTACATACACTTCTGATGGCTTGAGCTAGCTCTCTCTTCAAAATAATGATATGTTTATTCATCAAAGGAGGGTATCATATCTTTTCCAAGCTATTATAAATTTGGCGTGAATCTTCATGTACTTCTTGATTATCATACATGCTACATGCATGCCACCTCAGAGGTAGCTGGTCCCTTTGGGATCCTCAAGTGATGTGTTTATTAATTGAATTGGTTGGTAGAAGATGTATACACATAGGGGTAGTTTGGGGGGAAGTCAAATTGAAGTATACACGTCATGGATACAATACTTGGGATAGACAAAAACAGGACATGTCCGTTGCTACAAACTATTCACCGGCTCTACCTCTTGAAATGATTTTCCCCTTTCATCTTGACGTTTGGACATTATCATGAGAATTGAAGGTTAATTACTTATAGGAAAAAGAAATATTCAATAAATTGCTCCGAAGCTTGACTTTTTCCTCCTTATGTTGACCTCAATGCATTAGAATTTGTTAACCACATACAATCATGTCTACTATATGGGCATTTGGTACTTAGCCTCACATTGTCTGTCTGGTTCTTCAATGTCACTCTTAACTTGAGTTCATTTTTTTGTTGGGACTGAGATTTTGGCCAGTATATATGGCATAGTATTGTTTCGGGATATGCTCATTAAAGAATGTTACAAACTTTTATGTGAATGCTAAATTGACTTGGAGATTATTCTGTGAAGCCCCACCTGTATTTAACGACTTGATCGTCTTTACTGATGGTTAATGTGCACTCTGTATTTTGGGCTCACGTGGCAACACTATGCCATTATTGTTGTGTTGTATGTTTGTGGAGTTCCTTTAACGCTATGGGTATCTCAACTCCTATTCTTTGATGACTGAAAACATTTTAGATTTTGTTATAGTTGTCCAAGTGCTGGTTTATTTGCCCGGCATGATTTTGTCTTACAGACATTAGGTTACCTGTCTGTTATTTGTTCTGCTGTGGTTCTCATTATGCATTGCACTGTGTCAGGTAGTTAGTCTAACAACAGTTATGCTGTCTGGTTTGCAGGCTAAGCCATGCAAAAGTTTGTGGGTAGCTGGGATTAGCAAGTCCGTGCCAAAAGAAGAATTGGAAGATCAGTTCAAGGGATTTGGTAAAATTCAAGAATTTAAGTTCATCAGGGATCGCAATACCGCATATATTGATTTTACTAGACTGGAAGATGCATCAGAAGCACTGAAGAACATGAATGGCAAAAAAGTTGGCGGTGAACAGATCCGCGTGGATTATCTCAGGTCACAACCTGCTAGAAGAGTAAGTTATTTTCTCTACAGCATGGTTTACTCTTACTGTAGAGATTTGATTCGTTTTCTGGAGTAGTAGATTTTGTAGAGGAAAATATACTATGATCATGGAAGTAGTTGTCAACCTGAAGGATGTTGATTTTAGCTTTCGTAAATGAGTTTTGGTGTCTATACTCTATAGAAAGAATTTTGCGCGACAGTCACCTTGCTGGTACAAGGCATATAGAATCCAATTTGTAAATTGTAACTCAAATCCAAAAGCTAGCTCTTGAGGGAAGGATTGCCCAAGGTCACATAGCGAGATTACAATCCATTCTCAACCTATTTGGGACTTAACATCCCCGCACACAGGATTAGATAATTGGAGCATGAATAATATGACACTGGGGCCCAACATTGAGAAATATAACAATATGGATCGATAGGCCTGGCTGTGATACCATGTGAGAAATAAACCTTGTGCCTAAACCCCAAAAGCTAGCTCTTGAGGGAGGGTTGCCCAAGACCATATAAGGAGGACACAATCAATCTCCTCAACCAATGTGGAACTTAACATTAAGAATCAAAGTTTGAGTTGAAGAGGAAAATATAGTCTTAGTGTT